TTTTTCTACTACTTTTTTCTTTCATTAAAAATTCAAAAAGGGAATTTGAGTATGTTTGGACCAATATATGTCTGTTGGATGCTCATAGAAAAAGGAAGCAGGGTATTATAGGCAGCTCGGTTAGACAGTAATTAATATGCAGTCAGAGAAGGAGGCTCTCAAGGAAGTCAACACAAAGATAAAGACTGGAGGTGAATCCAAAGAATTGGGACTAGAGGTGCATTGAATGAGCCCAGCCCTCCAGATAGAGATACCATGGCCAAGTCTACCTGCCTCCCTAAGTGGTAAAGAGCAACCTGATATTGTATTGTAATTATCACAACCTGCCCAGTAATTCCAGATAGGCATCAGTAGCCCCGGGGGGAGACTAGAGCATCTGGACTCATTCCTTCCCTAGAATATGTTGGTTCTGTCCAGGTACCCTTGATACATGACTCATTTTCTTATTGGGTCAATATTTGCTAAGCAGTTCTTCTTCTGACCCTGTAACTTGTTTGCAGTTTCACCCTCATTGTATCCACATGGTGAGTTTTTCTGTATAAATTACTCCTGCACAAGGGCTTCATTGGCCACTTATTTATGACACTTTCTGAAAATCCAGGAGCTAGTCTCTGTTCCCAATAAAACTCTCTTAGCATCTTCCTTTAGCTCCTAACTTCATTCCTAGATATTCTGGGACCACAGAGTCAGCATATCTGACGTCTAACAGGCTGATAGTTATATTTCTCCTGCATTAAAAAGCATATAAAGGGGTTGGCCAAATAGCTCAGTGGATTAAAGTGCCTTCAAGCAGGTGAAGGGGCCAAGGGTTCAATCTCTGGGCCTGCCATACCGGCCCCACCCCCAGGGTGCACTGAGACAGCAATTGAGACTGGACATGGTAGCACATGCCTGTAATCCCAGCTCTTGGCAGCTGTAAACAGGCAGATCACTATGAGTCCAATCTAGTAGTGAGACCCTGAGCACCTTATAGACCCTTCCCCAAAATACAAAGAAGAAGGAAGAGTAGGAGGAGGAGGAGGAGGAGGAGGAGGAGGAGGAGGAGGACAATGCCCATCAGCTGAGGAATGGATAAAAGGGATGTGTTATTTTTACACAATGGAGTATTACTAAGCTATGAAAAAGATAAATTTGAGGCCTTTATAGGTAAATGGATGGAACTAGAGACCATAGTCATAAGTGAAAATTTTCAGACCTGCATATACAAGCATAATATTGTCTTGCTAGTATAAGAACTTGAAATAGTAAATAAAAACTGATAGGTACAGTAGTATTGGGAAAGGGATGGAATCTGTTCAGAGGTGAGGAAAAAATTGGATAAGGAAAAAAACAGGAAGGGGGTAAGAGATATAATTATACATGTATGTAAGATGGTTAGGATAAATGTACTGCTGATTTCTTCTGCTCTACAGAGGGGAGCTGCTGATACTTTTTTTCTTGCTCTGCTTAGTTTATAATTTTTTCTAATCTTGCATGATTATATCTGGTAATCTGAACAACTAATTTGAATACAACATTATGCAATACAGCAACCATTGTTGAACTATTGTTTTGTTTGGCGAAGTTCTGTCTTGTTTCTGATTTTTGGCACTGTTTTATATTCTCTTTAGATAATAAATAAATAAATATTATCTCATTAATTTTATTTTTTAAAAAAAGTACCACTGAATTGTATGCTTTAAAATAACAAAAAATAAACTTAAAAAAGGAGAGAGAGATGCTGAAACATAAAACCCAGTTAAACACATCGAACACCACAGAGTGTGAAGACTGAAAGAGGAGGCTTTAATAAACAAATGGGTGCGACTAGAGATGAGTCTCTTAAGTGAAATAAATCAGACCCACATGTGTAGACATTGGACTGTCTCCCTAGTGCAAGAACCTAGAAGAATAAATAAACTCTGAAAGGGAGAATACGGAGAGTAAAACCTAAAGAAACTGAACATAAGGAATAAACAAGGGAGATGAGGGAAAGGAGACAAAAAAGGAAAAAAAGAAGGGAACATGATGTAATTATATACAGAGAATAGCTAAGATGATTCTACCACTAATTTTTATTGGTTTTTGAGGTAACGGTTAAGGCTTAAAATTATTACCTTGACAAATTTATATATTAATATCTGTAAGCTGAGGAACTACATTGAAGACAGCAATGTAACAACCACCATTAAATACCTTTCAAGTTGCTCTTTTTTTTTAAAGCATATTATTTCTAATGTCTTATCTGTGACGTTATACTCTCTTTAAAATAAATTAAAAATAAAAAGGACAAAAATGCAAAATTTATGGAAAAGAAGAATTAATGTTTTAACCTTTGGACAATCTTACAAGCCTATATCTGGTAGTCTGAGCAACAACTTTGTAACAGTATGTAATTTAACAGCCATTGTTAATTTCCTGTTCTTGTTTTGAATTGCTGTACCATTTTTATTGTCTTACGGTGATTTGTTTTTGTCTTTGTTCTTGTTTCTTTTCTCTTTAAAATGAAATGTAGGAAAAGAAGGCAGTGTTGAGCTTAAAGATAGTGGTTTCAATGAAATAATCCTTCCCATCTTTCCCTCTTTCTGCATCATACATATAAAAGCTTATAGGATTATTCCTTCATCTATTTCTATCTCTATTGACAGAATGTCTAATGATTTTTCAGATCTAGGAGTGTGTTCTGCTTATGTAAGATTAAAAAGACATCTGGGTATATTTTAGAAATTCTGAATATGTGTGCTCACACTCCCCACCGGGAGGAAACTGAAGTCTGTCATTCTTTCTGCTCCTGTAAAATCAAACCCATTCTACATGATCAGTTTAATTCATGTGGTCCTACTTCAAATGTAATCTACAGTGTCCCTAAATGGAATAGAAGCTGCTTTCTTGGACTACTGTTAATAACTTTCTGTGATATTGCTGTTTAGCATACAAGGGGCATAACTTCCATTAAGGGTGTACAAGGACTGATCCAACTATATGACAAATTTTAAAATTTGTTTGAAAAATTAATATGGTAAAAGCTATGGCTGACACTGACAAAGGATCTACAATCTGAGGTACAGGATCTCAGGATAAATCCTGAGGGGATTTCACTGACCTTATCAGACCCAAAAGCTACAACTCTTGTTGCATAGATCTTGCTTTATCTTGGTCTCAACCATCCAGCAGAAAAATATAAAAATGAAGTATAAGAAGTAAAGCCATGCTGTTATGTTGAGCTGTAGGGGACTCAGGTCAACAATTTCTGACACTGTCAGTCAAGCAGAAGACCCAATACTATTATGGACTACTGGACTCTTTTAGAATATTTTGCTGAGTTAACACACCTCTAATATCCAGATGACGGAAATAAACAAAAAAGGGGATACAGATGAATGTCCATTTTGTATCTGTGTATTCAAAATGGTTATGATATATATATATATATATATATATATATATATTATATATATTCTCTTAATGAATAGAGGGCTTTGTTCTAATAATGTTTGTAAGTAGGATATCATGTCCGCATCTTGTACAGCAATTAACCACTAGGAAGACAGTATGCAACGTGTTAATTATTGAAAAAATCCTTCTGCCATTTTGGGGGCCTGCCCCTTAGCTCAGTTCTTTAAGTGGCTGCTTCAACAATGCAGTCAGGCTCAGATTGCTGTGATTTGATCCCCACAATGCTAGCCAGCCAAACCTACCCTGAAGGCATTTGGAGCAAAAAAAAAAAATCCTTAATTATTGAAACTGTCCTACCAATTTGATTTGAAACTGTCTCATTGCTATTTGTTTCTCAATAAAATTATGGAAAAAATTAAAAAATTGAAAAAAAACATTGTCATTATTCCCCATCAAAATATCCCCCCTTGCTTACAATTCACTTATGCCTTCATTCTTGCTCCTTTTGCCAGTGGTTCTGGAAACCCTCTATCATGAGTGCCTTCATGAGATGATTAAAAAATGCAGTGAATTTTGCAACTGAGTGCCATCCAACAGAAAGTCAGGCTTGTAGAAACATTATGTTCATCTTATTCACCAGATTCATCACAGTGTGCTCTCTGGTTCATCTCCATAGTCAAAATGACCATGAAAAAAATATGTTGAACCAATTCAGGACATCAAAGTAGCCATAATGGTATAACAGAACACAAAGGAGGGCTTCGGCAAGTGCTCCAGAAAATGGCAAGAGCAACTGGAAAAGTTTTCAAAGTGGTGAATAATACTTTGAGGGAGATTAATGGCAATGTGTCTTTTACTTTAATACATTTAAAAATTTTTGCACATTGCTTGCATTTTTTCCATGGCCCCTTGTGTTATTACCTTGACTCCTGGCAGTTCTTTGATGGAGTAGTGACCCTGTGACTCAACACCAAACACTCATCACCCACATCTCCTTGGTTTTCAAAATAGGGTAATAAGGAGGTAAAACACCTGAATTTTAGAACCACTTATGAGAAAAACATATGAAAGTGCTTTGTAAACTAGGAAATACATAAATAATTTTAACTAATATTATTATTAAATAGCAGGTCATGGGCTGGGGAGATAGCTCAGTGGTCTAAGTGTCTGCCTGGCAAGTGCAATGACCCAGATTTGATCCCCTGTACCACATGCTGTGCTGGCCCCAGAACTCTGGGTGCACTGTGCCAGCCACTAAAATGGTGCGGTGATACATGCCTGTAATCCCAGCTGAGGGGCTGAGACAGGAGGATCACTATGAGTCTGAGCTGCATAGTGTGCCCTGTACACAATAAATAAATAAAAAATAAATAAATAAACAAAAAATAGCAAGTCACTCCTTTATTTTTACTCTAAAGTGTCTTAGGACTCCCCTCTTAAGGCCATGTACATACAGCCTCACGCTTTATCCTCCCACACAGCTTATGGAGGCCAGCCTTGCTCAAGACTTACTGGTTGAATTGAAAGCTATTTTAGAGAAAAAAAAATCATTCACATATCACAACTGACTTCTCTATTGCCATCTTCAATCTTTATTCATATCTTATCTCTTACTCTTAACATAGGTTTTCCGAACGAGCCTGCCGCAGTCATTGCCCTAGGCACCATTAAGGAATGGCTGGCCAAGCACCACCAGGAGGTAAGAGAGACAGCATGCTCAGCATTCTCGATACTGTACTGTGACTCTCAGTTCCTAAAACAATCAGCAGATAGTTCCTGTAACTATTAACTGAACTTTGTCATTGAGTCAAAATTAGCTGACCATTCTTCATTGGGTTATGTGGATGATTGAATATCTTCCTTAATCAATTGACATTCATAAGTATATTGATTGATTGGATGATAGTGTCACACAAAATAATCTGATCCATTTAGTTATGGTCTCATTTTCACCTTGTTGGGTACTACGGATTATAGGCATGAAAGCAAGGGATAGGATGGGTTTCATTATGAATGATGGTTCTTCCTGTACTATTTCCTATAAAGAGTTATTGTTGCTCAGTGGGGATTCCTGTTGGACAACAATCTTTTGCTGTCATACACTGTATTTATTAATAACTAATGATTTCCCTAAAGTGACTCCTGAATGTGATTGGAATATGTTTGGATAATTGATAGCTCAATTGTTATGACCAGGAATTTTTTATGAAACTAAGTGCTTCCACCAGAGTGTCCAGTATGCTTCCTATCTACTTATCTAGTAAGAGCTTTTGGATATATTCAATGATGAAAGGCAAGGCAACCCCAGGAAACAAGGCAGTGAATAACTAGAGGTCATAGAGCTTTAGGTTTTTGAGGTTTGTGAATGTATATTTTATAGCAGTAAGCAGTATTCAGACAAGGTGTAATCTTGTGCATTTTCCTTCTCCTTTTGATTTATTTTCCCCCTTGAATAGCAACATAAAGGGAGCATGAATAATTTGTTTCACTTTCTGATGGATTGTGAGTTTGGCTTTGGGGGTGCTAAGAGATGGATTATTTGGAAATGGTTGGTTATAAAAACAAGTTATGGGGGTTCCTAGTGATTGAGAGATCTTGATGCTTTGTGGGTTTAAGAGAACCATGGTAACATTTTCTAATTACTGCGTATTTAACATTCTTAACCAGAGATGTGTATTGCCAGTCTAGAATGGAAGTGGACCTTGTGGTCAGTCACACATTTTGGTGCTTGTTCTTTTTTTTTTTCTCTCCTACTTTGAAATGTATGAATAAGGCTTAAATTACAAAATAAAAATAAATAACTATAACTGATAATTTGAGTAGCATGTATTTATCATGAGTTATTTTATGTTTACAGCAACTTTATGAAGGATTTGGGATAGGCATTATTATTCCCAGCCATATCTAGCATCAAATACCATACTCTAGAATGGTAAATTCACAGGATCAGACTCCAGTTCTCAGCACTCCAAAGCCATTCCTCAGTGGAATGCCCCTGGGCCAGGGAGAGAATTTTACTGCCTTTGAAATCCAATTTTTTAAAATATATTTCTTTTTTTAAAAAAGTATATTTCTTTGTGATAGCAAATACTCCTCACCTGGCCCATCTGCTTTGCAAAAGATAACATGTTTCACAAGTGAAAATTGATAACTGTGCAAGTGTATTAGTGTATATCCGTCATTTCCACTGTCTAGTAATCCAGGGATGGGACTGCTGGAGGCAGCTCACCTGTGGCCCTTTGCCAGGTGCTGGGAGTGCACACGAACGCTTCTGACTGAGGAAAGGATGATGAAGTGTATATTGCATTTACAGCTCACTGACAAGTTCTAATGATGCATTATCTCTACTTATACTCTGTTTTCCTTAGAAATTCCTTAGCCTTGTGTTTTCCTACACAGTTCACCTGCTACCTTGTCTTTCAAACCATTTTTTGGCCTCCATATTGTTTTATTGTATATTTTTTAATCCATTGCAGAAGATTTAGATAATTTGAATTCAGAAACATAGATTGGTTATGGCAACTTTAAACATGTCTTGTGCCAATTCCTTTTGAAAAGACTCCTATGTCAATGCACATTGACTAATTTGAACAAGTTAAATTGAACACATTAAATTTTACTAAATAAATGCATTATAAATAGTACATCATAGATATAAAACTGCACAAATTGATTATCTAGTGTTTTATTTCTTGCTCTGCAAAAGTTGTATGAAAGAATATTGCTTCTGATTCAATTGTTTCTTCACTACACTATTGTTTTGACATTCTGATTGTCTCAGCTATCTATTCATAAATTCTCTCACTTGATAAATATTTATTGTATCTCACTAAACACCAGGCACTTTGGATATACCAGGGACAGAGCATTTAAAAATGAACAGTGGCTGCTTCCTGATATTCATTGTCTAGAAAGAGGGACATAAATTTAGTAAATAATGAAACAAAAGAGTTCTAAGTGTGCTTTATAGAATAAAACTAAGTAACTGCATAGGAGCTGTTGAGAGATTGGCTTCGGAGAATGTAGAGACTGCTGTGTAGACTGTATCTTCAAGGAAATATTTGTGTAGGGATGGGTTAAGACAAGCTCCATTAGAATGTCTTGCATGGTGGGCACCAGAAGAGAAAAACCCTGAAGGAAAATGAGCTTATCCTTTGCAAGCAATGGTAAGACAGTCACCATGATTGGATCAGAGAGATAAAAGAAGAGCAGGAGGCAAATTTGGAGATAGCAGATGAGATCAGATTACAGTGTAAAGTCTTGTGGTTCATAGGAACACATTACATCTTACTCTGAGGCTAATGCAATGCTTTTGCAAGATTTTGGAAAGAGAGTAACATGTTCTATTTCATCTTTGAGAAATGAGTTTAGCTATTCTTTGGAAAATGGCCTTTAGATATATCAGAGAAGGAAAGGGAAGACTGATTAAGAGGCTCCTGCAGTAAATCAGCCCAAAGATGGAAGACAGCTTCAGAATACAGTGATGATGGCAAAGAGAGCAACAAGCCCAAAGTCCAGGAGACACTTTAAAATGGAGCTAATAGCACTTGAAAAGTTTTCCAGTACAGGTAGATTAGCTCATCCAGCAGCTACAAACTGCCTCCACATCTCAGTGTCATAAGGTAATCAAGGTGTATGTGCTGCTCACAGTATTGGTATATGTTGTGCAGGTAAAGGGCTGTGGCTTAGTCAGGAGCCTAGGCTGATTTACAGTCCACCCTGTGAAATACCAGTCACGTGACAGAAGCAATGCTTCCATGAAGGAGTAGAATAGTTTTCCTTCACACTACATTGTCCAAAGAAAGGCTTATAGGGACCAAGTTCCAGGAGTCAAGAATTGGCTCTCATTCCTACTATTTTGTTCAGTGAAATTTTGTACCATTTCTAATGCTTTTTTTCTTGCTATTTTGTATTATTTGGAAAATAAAAAAAAACTTTAAGAAAAAATATGCTCTCTTTGCATATGTTCAGAATACAGCAAACTCAATGTCAACAAAACCTGATATTATCTATTCTACACTGAAATTATAAATGACAAAACAAGTCAAGAATGGCAACTGAGTTTTGGCCCAGACATCTGGGTATATTTTGGTGCATTTACTATGCCAATGAAACACTTGTATAGGATCATACTTATATGAAAAATATAAAGAAAACTAGAACTCTGTTAAGTCTGCGATTACCTTAGATAGCCAATTAATATTTCAAAAAGATAAATTGACTTTTTATTCTGAAGAAAAATGAGGGGAAAAAAAGACATAGTGGCACTATGCAAATCACTGTAACATTAACCTAAGTTTGAGATTCCCTGAAAAAAGGAGAAATACACTCAAGCCAGCTTAGAAGAATATGTTGTAATAATGAATAGGGTAAAAAGCCAAAGTCTTGAAATTCCAAGGCTAGACCTAGATTGGATTTCCAATTTTAATTCTCTGCAGTTTCCTAAGGGACTAGGATCACATCCTGTAACTCCGTCAAGAAACAAATGATCTCCTTTTCATTTCTTCTCACTCTCTCTTTCCCTCTGTTTCCCAAATCACAATTTCATCATCGCTACCAATCATTATTATCTTGCACATCATCATCTGGGCTTACGTGTGACTCCACCATGACTCTTCCTGTCCATTTGTGGGTCAGTCAGCACCACATGAAAACACACCAACATTCACTTTGGCAGGTAGGGTTGGATCTTCTGGAACTCTTAGCCGATTGGGTCCTCTGAAACTTTCCCTTTTAAAAATAAGGAATTATATAATGCCCTTCTCCCTCAAGTGACATATTTCTATTAGCAACGTAAGTACATAATTCAGGGCTGCACATTTTCTTAATGTTTTGGTGTAATGCCTGATAAATAATCGATGCTGTGATATAATTAGTGAACTTTCACATTTCACTACTTACCCTCCGATTTCTAAAGCATCAGGAGTGTATACCCCCCTCATCATAATAGTTGATTTGTTTCTATATAATTTCAAAAACTACTGAGAGTTAATAAGGCTGAGCATCGCCACAGTCAGAGTCCTCCCTGGAATGCTTAGGTCCAGTGGGACAGAAGTAGGAAAACCATCTTCTAGTGTTCATCACCCACGTGTCTAATTTTCCCAAAGCCAGAACTGCTAGGAGACTGTAGTTACTACACTTTTAACGGAACTCAGGAGATTGAGGAACAGAGCCCAGCTGAACAAATCATAGAGCTGGATCCAACTACAGTGGTTCCAGGGGGAAAAAATGAAGCAGTGTTTCAATGCTAACAACAGCAAACCCCTCCCCACAGAATTTTAGGGAAGAATTGAGGTGCAAAACATGTGTGTGAGGGGGTGGGGAGATGGCTCAGTGGAATAAGTGCTTCCCTGGCAAGCGCAAGGGCCTGAGTTCTAATCCCTGGTTCCGCAAAAAAAACACACACACACACAAAAAAAAAAAAAAAAAAAAAAAGGTGTGTCAAAACTAAAGACAGTAAGGACTACTTTCAGTGCTGAGAATTGAATGATTGCTATGAGAAGGTCTGCTGGATGAATTATCTCACAACACAGGCCAAAAAAATACAAAGAAATGTGTATCTTGAATGAAGAGCTAAGGTAAGAGACACCTAGGGATCAAGTGTGAGAGGAGCAAGAGATGATTACCCACTGGCATTTTCAGTTAAATTAAGTGTTAAGAAATTCAAAGTTTGGAAAACCAAAAAAGAAGAATACCAGT